ATTGCACTCTAGCCAGGGATGCAGAATGAGACTCTATCTCCCTCACAAAAACGTATTTTAACAACCTGTCTAGTGTGGGTGCTGACCAATCAGAGTGGACACTAGCCATAGTATTAGAGCTGGGTCATGGAGGCCCTTCCTTTTCAGACATTAACCCAGAGAATAGGTAGGGAGGAGTTAGAGTGCCTAGGGTGGCTTATAGCTTTTACCTACTGATATGGAAATATTTAAATCTTTTCACTATCTGTTTCCATACTGGAATGTTCTGGCTAAATGTCCTCATACCATTCCTAGGATTGAACAGAGTACCTCACATGAATCAAATAGATTACAAGTAGGACCTAATGATAATAATTATAATCATGGTGATGGCAGCAAACATTTACTGATCTCTTATGATGGGCCTGGCGCTAGTTTAGTGTTTTGTGTGCATACCTTGGTTGATCATCGCAATAGCCCTAAGAAGTGTTTTTTTAGTTGATGACAAAATTCAGGGTTAAAGAGGTTAAGTAACATGCCTAAGGTCATTTAGCTAATAAGTGAAAGTTATAGGATTAGAACCCAAGCAGTATACTTTTACCCATCTATATTTGCTTTCCCTTATTGTTAAAAAAAAAAAATAAAGCAAATAAGTGGTGTTCAATAGAGATAGCACATGGTTTGTTAACCTGACTGGTCCTGCCCTTTTGCCCATACCCTACCTAAAGCAATGTGGTATATTAAAAAAAGTTGTGAAACTTAGGTTTTAGTTCTGAATCTAATGATAGTTGTCTTACTGTTTTATATACGTAAAATGAAGGGCTTTGACAAAGTGATCTCTAAGGCTTCCTTCCCTGTTAATGTTTTCGAGGCTTCTTTTTCTGTTAATGTTCTATAACTCTGTTATTTTGTTTCAGCTTTATTGAGATATAACTGATAACAATACATTACATATACTTGAAGTATACAATTTGATAAGTTTTCATATATGTATGCACCCATGAAACCATCACCATAATCAATATAAAGAATATGTCACCCTCAAAAGTTTCCTCCTGCTCCTGTGTATCCCTCCTTCCTGCCCATCTCTGCCCTCTGTCTCTCCACCTGCAGGCTGCCTCAGATTGGCTTTTTATTACTGATTGATTAATTTCCATTTTCTATAATTTTATGTGAGTTGAATCATACAGTGGAATTCAGCTACAAATCATTATCAATAAGATAGCCAGAAAAGATAAAGAAAAATAAAATAATAAGGCAGATATAGAACTGAAATATGGCTTTTTTATTAACAAAGCTAATACAGGAGAATATGGCATATATCTGTATGGTGTGTACTCTTTTTGTCGGTGTTCTTTCACTATGTGTAATTTTTTGAGAGTCATCCAGGTTGTTGCATGTATAAATAGATACTTCTTTATTGCTAATTAGTATTCCATTGAATGGATATATTATAATTTGTTCATCTGACTAGATTAAATAGATGGATATTTGACTGTTTCCAGTTTTTGGCTATTTCAAATAGAGCTGCTGTTAACACTAGTGTACAAGTCTTTGTATAGACATATGATTGCTTCTGTCTGGAGTAAATACATGGGAATGGAACATTTGGATCATATGGTAGATATATGTTTAACTTAAGAAACTGTCCAACTGTTTTCTAAAGTGGTTGTACCATTTTAAATTCCCACCAGTAGCATATGAGAATACTACTTGTTCCACATACACATGAACACTTGGAATGGTCAATCTTTGTAATTTTATCATTTCTAATAGGTGTCTAGTGTTATCTTGTAGTTTTGATTTGTATTTCTCTAATATCTAATGGTGTTGAGCATGTTTTTATGTGCTTTTTGACCATTTGTATATTTTCTTTGGAGAAGTAGACACTTCTACTTCAAATCCCTTGCCTACCTTTTAATTGGGTTATTTTTCATTATTGAGTTGTAACAGGTATAAGCCCCTTATTGGATTTATGATTTGCGAATATTGTCTCCCAATCTCTGAATGGTCTTTTCACTTTCTTAATGGTGCTTTTGAAGCACAAAGTTTTTAATCTTGATTAAGTCATATCAAATTTTTCTTTTATCATTTGTGTTTTTGGTGTTATAGCTAAGAAATCATCGCCTAACCTAAGTTTACAAAGATTTATTTCTATCTTCTAAGAGTTTTGAAGTTTTAGCTGTTATATGTAAGTCTGTGATCAATTTTAAGTTAGTTTTTGTGTATAGTGTGAGGTAGGGACCCAATTCGGCGGGTGGGGGAAGGGTGGCATGTGATGTCCTAGCACCATTTGTTGAAAAGACTGTTCCTTTCCCTTTAAAGTTTCTTGGCACCTTTGTTTAAAAATCAGTTGACCATAAATGTAAAGGTTTATTTCTGGACTCTCAATTTTATTCCATTGATCTATATTTCTTTCCTTATGGTTATACTACACTGTCTTAATTACTATAGCTTTGTAGTAAATTTTGAAGTTAGTCTTCCAACTTCATTCTTTTTTTTAAAGATTGTTTTGGCTTTTCTGCATTCTTTGCATTTCCATATGAATTGTAAGATCAGCTTGTCAATTTCTGTAAAGAAGCTGGAAGGGATTTTGGTAGGGATTGTGTTGAATCTGTAGACCATTTCAGGGAATCTTGCCATCTTAACAATATTGTTAACATTAGCATGTTAAAAATATTACATCCTCTAATCCGTGAATATGGGATGTCCTTACATTTATTAAAGTCTTCTTTAATGTCTTTTAATAATGTTTTGTAGTTTTCAGTGTACAACTCTTATACTTCTTTTGTTAAAGTATTCCTAAGTATTTTAGTTTTTTAAAAAAATGTTATGATGAGTGGAATTGTTTTCTTAATTTCATTTTTGAACTACGTTTTTGGACTAACATTTCACTGTTAGTGTATAGAAATACAATTGATTTTTGTATATTGCTCTTATATCCTGCAACCTTAGTGAACTTGTGTATTACTTCTAGTAGCTTGTTAGTGGATTTCTTAGGCTCTTTGTATTTACAAGATCATATTGTCTGTGAATAAAGAAGGTTTTACTTCTTCATTTTCAATATGAATACCTTTTATATCTTTTTCTAGCCTAATTACCCTGGCCAGAACCTCCAGTACAGAGTTGAATAAAGGTGGAGAGAGTTGACATCTTTATGTTTTCCCTGGACTTACAGGGAAAGCATTCAGTCTTTCAAAAGTTATTATGATGTTAGCTGTAGGTTTTTCATAGATGTTCTTGTTATATTGAAAAGATTCTCTTCTATTCCTAGCTGCTCAGCATTTGTATTA